CGGGGGGGGGGGGGCGGGGGGGTTCAATTGTTTACGATGAGTTAAAAAGTCATATGGCACATATACAGTATACATACATGTCACAATATCAAAATAAACGGTAGCACCACCGGCCATGTATTACTACTATTCTAGCTCGCTAGCTAACGTAATTTCACCACTCATAAACATTAAAGAAAACGTTTTATAAAGTGCATTGTTTTTAAAGATGCAGAAGGATTTGCTTTCATATCAGTAATTTGAATAGTGCTGGAATAACATTTGTTTTAGCTTGGCCCGTAACCTCGAGAGCTACTCTACTCAGCCCTGCCCCCTCGGAGGAGGAAGTGCTCATGTGACCAAATACAACCAATCAGAGAAGCGCTGCTGCTTAAAGGCGCACTGCACTGAAAAACACCTGTGCACTCTGTGAAAGCCAGCGTCATAAAAGTGTAGGAGTGTGATACCTTCGGGATTTTTAGTTTAAAGTTTCAACAAACAGGTTATGTTTCTTAGACAGTGGCAATATTGTAAGACAAGGCAATTTATATTTTATTTCTACATCTCATTTAATACACAATGACCATTCAAAGTGCTTTACAAAAAAAAAAATCAAAATAAACATTAGATAAATAAGCTAAACAGCTAAATAAGCAATGAACTGAATAAACGAATAAAATAACAATACAAAGTAAGTACTAAAATTCATTACAAATAGATTACAAATGTATTTTAAACATTTAGAAAAAACGAGCAGACTATAATATAATGACTTGGACGCAGCAACGCACAGTGCTCACTCAAGTTCAAGTGCACAACTAAACAGGTGTGTTTAATGAAACAAACAAACAAATAAAAAATGATATCACTATTGTTCAAATATTTTGAAATTAAGTATTTTTTTCCGAGTCATTCTGGCACACACAAAGGGCCCTGTTTTGAGTTGTTAACATGATTTTGTACGCCAGGAGACACTGTTATGCCGCTCTACAGAAAGTCTCAAAGGGGGGGGGGGGGGTGTATCCTTGCACTGCACTTGCTTTATTAACTTCTTTTGAGTCTTAGATTTCCAGCTTGTTAACGGGGATTAATGGAAAGAAATGTAATAATCACATCATGTGTAAAGAGAACACAGAGATGCCAAACAATTCCAAAGCATCACTTTATTCTGAATGATTTATTATTATAAATAGCATATAATAGACGGTAGCAAGTGATTTTATTATGAGGAGAAATATAGTATTTTGAACAAGTTGGGTCTTGCTTTCTGACTCACACATGGGCTGTACTGTAGCTGTTTTGTGATCATTGACTTGTTGGTGAGAACTGCAGTGCTGCATGTAAACCATTCCACAGTCATGCCACATGCATGCATACAGTAATCACTTCAAGACTCAAGGGATGACAGATCAAAATATACAGGGGTTCTCATGAATAAATAAACTGCAGTCTCACTAATATTGTGAGCCTTTCTGTCATTTATATTCAGTGCCACCAAGAATACAACACAAGAATTCAACAACAACTTAAAGACTACAGTAAAGATTTAGTCAATGTTTAAATTCTTAATTAATAAACTATTCATTTTATTACACTTTTTATTTATACTTTTATTTACTAAGTCATGTTTAATTTAAGTAAGCCTGGCACAGAGCATGCCCTCACTCTTTCTCACGGCCTCTCATCCCTTCTCTTCCTCTGGGCTCACTCGATCCCTCTTTTCCTCTGTTTGAGCCATAGGGAGTAATGACACAGTGACCCACTTTGTGCCCCTGGCAGGCCTAAAACACTGAACCCACAAACACTAAACAAAAAGCAGATAGACATTAAGCATGCATGGGCAAGCAATAACTCTGAAAGCTTTGCTTTGTGCATGGTATAGGTGGGCAAATGTTTCCCAACAACATAACCTAATAATGATACAACACAGCTGAAAACAATGACTTATGATTTATACATTTCTAAATACATTCTAAAAATAATAATAATAATAATAAAAAAAAGCTCCCTTCTCATTTACCCCCGGATTCACAGACAAGGCTTAAGCCTAGTCCCAGACTAAAATTTAATTCTGAGCTGCTTCAACTGAAAGAAACTTGCACTGACTGATGTTAAAGTATATCAGTGCCTTTGTTTTGTCTCAAGATGCACACCAGTAATGTTTTTTCTAAGGCATGTTAATAAAAAATTACTTAAATGTCCTAATTGAACTATTGCCTAGTCCTGGTTTAGTCTAAGCCCCGTCTGTGAAACCAGGCCTTAAAGTTGATCAACACAACTACAATTTTTATAGGGTTGATTTTTGTTACATTTTTATTACGATTTTAACTTTTAGATTTATTTTTGTTATATGAAAGTCACATCTATTTCCACTCAATTTCAAATGGCATTTATGTGTAGATTTTAATGACTTTCCAAAGTTAATAGAGAAATGAAACAAATGTTTTTAGAGTTTGAGAAGTGGATTTTAGGATCAATTGTTTTAAATTAGGCTGGAAAAAAGAGAGATAAACAGCAATTGTGTCACAGACCAATGTTCGGTGATCATTTTATCTCTGTGTTCTTTTTTAATATATATATATGTGTTTTTTAGTTTTAATCTTTTTTTCTATAATTTTGGAAGTAGATTATGAGCCCAATCCAATATTTTATGGTTTTCTTAAAAGACTAGACACCAAAGACGTTGGGAAGAGTGTTGCGCTAATGCTCTAATGCTAATGCAATATTTATGTCCTTCATATCCTCTCTGAGTGCACGTAATTTTAATGGATCTGGAAATGCTTTGTGATATCCATTAGAAGCTTCCTCTTACTGTTGAATGTTGTGGTATCGGTATGCAAACAATGCAAAAACTTCTTTCGGTATGCAAACAATGCAAAAACTTATTCAGTTTCAGCAGTGAAGCTTCTACAGTTTATATTACAAAATCTTCGAACGTGCAAAAAAAAAAAGGTATAATTTCCCGCTTGCGATGAGAGCAGCGCTTTTGTGGTCATTTCCCGAGCTCGTACGTACTGGGTGTATCCGCTCTGTCAATCAAGACTTGCTCAATCCGTAAGCCCCGCCCCTTCAGTTCTCGGCTCCGGTGCAGCACACGGACTGTCAAATCACCGCGTAACTTTGCTCAATCACTGGATTAAACATCACTTTTGGAGTACAAAAACTTACTTTTCCGGGGTGTACCGTTATCGGACCAGTCTTGGATGAGATGGAGGTTTAGGAGGCCTGATTGTCGTTGTAAAGAGTAAGATTTGGGTTATATTCAGTGTTTGATGGCTGCTGGGGATGGAGCCCAGCTGCCGGCGACCGTAGCGGCCAGCAGGAGCGTGGAGAAGGCGCTGGAAGAGGCTGCGTCCAGCGGAGCGCTCATCCTCTCCAACCGTAAACTAAAAGAGTTCCCCCGCACCGCCAAGAACTATGACCTGTCCGACGTTACACACGCAGGTAAGACTTAAACAAAGCGGTCACGGAATGAGCGAGAGGGGGAGGAAATGGATCAGTGCATTTAATGTCCTTTGTTTGAGTGTCTTCTTCACCTGCGCCCCTTCTGCAGGGGTGTACGAGCACCACCATCATCACGCCCGACCCAGAAAAAGCGGATCTTTTACTTTATTGTAGGAAGCAGATCATCTGATAAGTTCATTTAAGTCCTCGCTTTCGTTTCTACAGAACTCCATCACTGCCCACACATCAGCTTATTGTGTTTTTAAAGCCAGGTTGTTGAGTTTGAGGCTGGTGTGTTTGCTTTACAAATTGAAGACATCTGCGCTGTGCTTCTCTTCCTGTTGTTGAGGTGGAAACTACATTCAGGCTGAGCCATCTTACCACAGACCCACTGCAAAACTTCACATTTGATCTGAGTGCAGTGAAAAGCCAGCAGAACTGGTGATATAAAATGTTATTGTTGTAGTCAGCTCATTTTGAGTGCACTCTCATTGGTAGGGAGCTTGTTGAGAACCATCTTGCCAGCAGCACTAATATGACCATCTGCTCCACTCATACAAAGTGGGTAGGCCTATAAAGCAGTTTGTCTTTGAGCCATTGAAACCCCCACGTGCACAAGCTCTGATGTCTAATAGAGATGTTGCAGTGCATTTAAAATGTACTTTGGGCTAAGCGACGATAATATCTGCATGTGGCATTTCATGCCATTTACTGTCATTTCAGTTCTCGTACCTCTTTGCGACCCACAGCTGGAGTTATTGAGAAGTTAGACCATGCTGTAATAATCACTCAAATGCATTAATTTAGCTAAACAGTGCTAAAACCACCAGAATTTCTGTGCAGAAAAATATCCTGACATTCACATACTGATTATGTAATCATTGTTTAAATGCATTATTAAGATTGTCATAACCCAGTTAAGACAATATTCGAGATTCTAGCTGGCAAATGGCTGTATTCTTCAGATTATTCACTGTAACTGAACATCCAAACCAAGGTCATTCTGTGAGATGTTAGAAAAAGACAGTGGTGACAGTGGTTGAGCTCCTGAACCAAACACATGTTTGGAGCGAGGAAAAGGCCTACGTTTTCGAATTCATTGTGCTCTGGTATGCCATTGTTAAGGACATGAATGAGAATTGTTTTGAGTTCATTAAATCAAATGTGGCGTAATAAACAGCGAGAACGAGCATCTCCAGTAGGAAAATTAATGCACATGTCATAATTTATTCAGAATATTCTGATTACATGTACACAGGAGGAATAATCCATTGTTGTTGTTTTTCAGAATAAAAACTTAACCAAAAGACACTTTAATCAGATCAAATGTTGTGCAAAATAGTAATTGAGAGGAACACATTCAGATTAGAAGTCAGGCAATACAGTTTTCACTTTCTCCCTTCATAATCTTAAATATTTGGTGACATCATTAAGGGTGATTTATTATGAATCTGTTTAAGAATACTGACTCATATTGATGGCACTGCGTAGCTTGAGACTGAGTTTTCTGCTCTATAGTTCAAGTCTTAGGTTTAGATGGTCTAATATCTTATTTTTCTGTGGAGGTTTTTCACATCACTTTTCTGCATGGATAACCATGTTGCCTTGACAACCGTACTGTACATCTGACTCTCCAAAATCCAAGCGCCAGTTTGGGATCAGTATGTGGGTGCCGAACTATTCAAGAGAACTAGGCCTGAAACTGCCATTTATAAATGCTAGAAATCCAAGCATAGATCCAGTGTAAAAAAAATCATTCCATAATAATCATGTTCCAGAGACACACCTACCATCAGGTGGAGAATGATTACTAGGTGTTGCTCACATATTACTGGTTGTAGTTGCAGCGTGTATTTTAAGTGCACTTGAAGGTAGGTGGAAGATGATAGTGTCTCGTTTTTGCTAAGGAGGCAAGGATTGATGGGCCTTGGTTTGTTCTTTCACTCTCTTCAGTCTACACACACTCATACATAGTTACATTATTTTCTGAAGCACCCTTTCCAGTATGGATTAACTACCCCTCAGGAAGGTCAGGGATTCAGTCTTGCTGGAGGTCCAGTTCGGTGATGGACAACAAAGCTCAGGCTCATCAATCTTCCCCGAAACCCTTAAAAACAGACCTCTATACTCATAACCAGAGTAATAATATAGCCGCTGTTGACTTTACCCTATAACAATAGCACAAGCTAGACTGTACCTCAGCACTTTAGGGTGTGATGATGACGTCCCAGTCTGCCTTTGTTTTCAGCGTCCCAGAGAAGTGAAATAAATTTTAAAGAGGTGCTGAAAGATGGATGTAGAGAAAGCTTAAGATAAGAGCGTATGAAAACAGAAGGACCTCCGCAGAAGCAGCTCTTGAGTGGAAAATGTTCTCGGGACATGGGCACCAATAGGATCCTCCAAATAAAATCACAGTGAATGTGTTTTTGTGTGTGCATTAGATGAAAATATTTGTTTCCATCCAGCTCCCACATACTTGTGACCATGCCTGGGGCATGAACGTCATGTAGCCCGTAACACAGTGTTTCATTCAGTGGGACACACTCCATACCACAACTAAGCCTCACAGCAGCTGAGAGAAAGAGGGGAGGGACAGAGGCCTTTTTTTTTGATAAAACAAGCTTGTGGACTGCTCCCATTGTCATGATATTCCCGAAATAGGAACCCTCCTCTTTCCCCCCAACTGCAGTCCCATTCGTTAAGACCCCTCCTCCATTGTCTGAGGCAGGCTTCTCTCTCTCTCTCTCTCTCTCTCTCCCCCTTGCTCTCTCTCTAGTTTTTATCTCTTTCTTTTCTTGGTTGGGTGAAGATTCCCATTTATCCAGATCATCAAAGAAGGCCTTAAATTTGGTGTCGGTTGGATGTTTTTCAAAGGACTTTCTGAAGATGGTCTAGATTATATTCTACAAAACACTCTCCTCATGGCTTATTTCCATTGATCTGTTATCCCCCATCAGTAATGTTTCCTCTCCGACATTAGCCTGTAGGCATGGCTGTGTCTGGGGCAGTGAAAGTCTGGACTGTCTGGATGTTGGACTAATAACGATCTAGTTTTTTGGCATACATTCAGAGCTGCATTTGACTATCTGTGTCAGTTTTGCCTGTTTGTTCAGTAACTGTAACAAACAAACGAACAAACTCCTTAAAGCGGCCAGCATTCATTAGAAACGTCTAGACAATTAAAAAAAATATATATATATTGTTTTTGTGTTTTATAGATAAATACTTATGATTCATGTGTGTTGATTCATGTTCACAGGCCTCATGCACCATTTTTCTTTTTTTGAGGAAGCTCAGGCTCACTACACGAGATAAGACAACATGACAGAAAAGAACTGAGTTTTAATCATTCTAATTCAATGAGAATATGGAAGACCACACCACAGCTATAACGATAACAATATAGAGGAACAATACCATTGGAATCACTTTAATTTTTGAGGGGCTGAAAAAGATAAAAACATTGTTTTAAAGAGCTTGAGAATTTAAAGAAGCAGCTAGATGACATAACTGCAGCGCACGTTTATATTAAACAGAACATTATTATATTAGAGATGGAGTGGACGCTATCATTATCGTTATCATCATTATAGTTATCGTTCTTGCTGTGAATGGGGGAATTTAAAGACTTCACCCAAAAATGAAAATTCTGACTTACCTTCATTGTTACAAACCTGATAGAATTCCATCTTTGAAATGCAAATGCAGATATTTTTCATAAAAAGATTTCTGTCCCTCATTTGAATGTCCATTGGACCAAAACGTTGACACTTAAAAAAGTTCATTAAGACATTGTAAAAGTAATCCATATAAATCAGGCTGTTTAAGATCATTAAAAACCTATTAGTCCAGGGCCCGTATTCACGAAACATTTTATCTTACCACTAAGAGTTCTCCTAAATAGCAGTAAAAGTTTTTAGCTAAGAGTTTTCTCTTAAAACCTATTCACAAAGATGCTGAGACAAACTTTTACTAAGGAATAGACAGAAGTCTTAAAGGGGTCATAGGATGCGATTTCAATTTTTCCTTTCTCTTTGGAGTGTTACAAGCTCTTGGTGCATAAAGAAGATTTGTAAAGTTGCAAAGACTAAAGTCTCAAATCCAAAGAGATGTTCTTTATAAAAGTTAAGAGTCAGCCACACCTACCTAAAACGGCTCGTTCTAACACGCCCCCACATACCTACGTCACTATCTGGGAAGGTTTGCATAACGCTGCCCAAATGTTCACTGTGGACGAAGCAGAGTCCAGCCCGGGGTCGTCACATGTGGTTGCCGCAGGCATCACAGTATGGTAAGGGACGTAACTTTTCTGTCACACGCTTGAGGAATTTGGCCAATCACAACGCACTGGATAGCTGGCCAATCAGAGCACACCTCACTTTTTCAGACCGATGAACTTTGTAAAAATCGACACGTTTCAGAAAGGCGGGGCGTAGTGGAGAAACAATAATGTCCAGTATGTGGAAAATAATGTGTTTTTTGAACCTTAAACCACATAAACACATTTCATTTCACCAAATACACAAAATAATGTTCTTTTTAGCAGCGTCATATGACCCCTTTAAACTAAGAGTAAGGGCGGGGTTGACATGGTTGCTATGGATGATGTCAGCATACTTACTAACTATGCACACAGTCATTGGCTGATAGTCTCTGTCAGAGATTTATTCATAGAAATATTGTAGAGTGCAATATTATGTTGCCATATTATAAAATAACGTTTTAAAAATAAAAATGTTAATTGCCACATTCAAATAAAGATTTTAAAATGCAGGCTAAGTGTCAGCCTCTTATATGTAGGCTATGTTTCTCGTAAACAATTAGTCAATATGCATTAGGGCTGCCCTCGACTAAAGATTTTTCTGGTCGACTAGTAGTCGTTCATTTTAAGCATTAGTCGACTATTAGTCGCACTTTTATTAATAAACCATATAAATCATAATAATGAGCCTTTAATTGCCTACATAGCCTAATAAGCGCTCAAGCGCACGCAAAAAAAA